TTACCTCATTTTTACACTGCTCACTCTTTGCGTAATTGGCATTGACTTCGGCAACTTTTTCTTTGTACTGCAGCATCTGTTGCACGGTCATAATTTCCATTGAATTCGATCGAATTCGCTGGAAAAAAAAGCAAAAGTATACGACTAAAATGATTTCTTGGTTTTTTTTGGTTCCTCACAAATTTAATTATCGATAAAATTACAAATAGTTTTTCCTGATTTTCAAACATCTGTGATAATTATATGGCATCGGATCCCTAAGTGTTCTTAGCCTCATCTGCCTTTATTTATCCTCTACTTAGCATATCTATATTTTCCGTTACTAAACTTTCGAAAACTTCTTTTTATTTAATTTTTATCCTCATTCCTCTCCCGACTCAAATCTATTCCTTCTCTCCCATACTTTATCCAAATTACCTTCACTGCTGATTTTCATCGCTTCATACCTCCACCAGTCTTATTGTTCTTACTTCATTACTGTTAATATCTTTCTAGCTTGCCTTAACTTACAATTATCGTTCGTCGGGTAAATCTTTTTGCTTTTCATTATCACTTCACATTTTGTAAGTGATTTGGCTGCGATTTTCGTTGAATTTTTTATTCCTACATTTCTCAACTTAATTTACAACACTTTTCATCCAATTCCTCTCACTGTTGCCGCAGTCAATAAAGTTGAATGATCCATGTTTCCTTCCGATGCAAACGCTGCCGGCCTATGAGTTTTTGCTGTACCATGAACCAATAAACGAATGTGTTAGACAAGGAATTTATCGTAGAACCTACTACATTCATGCCTACCACGATACGTATGGATGCATCTCAGTAGCATCAAAAATATAGGATTTTCACACCGATTGTTCGAGCGGTTCTTGGTAATCTTGGTATTTCGTTAGTGTGCAAGAGCGAAAAGCTGTTCGAACTACCTCATAAACAAGAAAAAGCGTGGAAAACCAAAATTTTTCCTTGATTTTTTTTACCTTTTCCCTAAAAAACTTGCAAAAATTTTCGAAAACACAACGCACCAGAAGCAAACGTTGCAGCGATCGGATCACTTCGATCAGCTTCTTCTTCTCGTTGTTCCAGCTCCTTCGCTTCCGGGTGAATTCGTTTTGTATGTTGTGCATCTGCTCAGCAGCTAGTTTTTGATTCTGCGACACGTGCGCACACTGCGATAACGCTTCCAGAAATCGGCGTTCCAGCGCAACCAGCAAACTTTTTACTTGTGATTCGCTTTCAATATCTTCCAAGAATAGCGTCATCTCTTGATTTTGTGCTCGAATTTTGTCCACTTCCGCTTGCCAGAATTCGTTTTGACTTGTCAGAACTTTAATCACTTCCTGAAAAGATGCTTATCTGAAAAGAGAAGTGTTCGAAGCGAAGTGGTGATGTTAAACACGTACTAAAGATATCTCAAGACAGTCAAAGCTTTGTTCAGAGACGGACCACCAGCATTCTGACTACCAAGCAATGCAGCATTGGTCAAAACAACTACAGAAACCGCTAGTATCCCAAAGATTTAGGCGAAGTTATCGAATCTGGACTTCGGAATAATTTCTGAATAGCCATAAGTAAGCTAGTCACGTCTAACAAAATAAACATTTGTTTGAAAATGCAGTACCTTTAAGTGTGTATTCTCAACAGCCAATTCGGCGCCTTCGGTCTCGTCCGCCATTTCTTTGAGTAAGTTTATCCCAACATAATCCTTCTCCTGAAAAAGCTTTCCCGTGTTGTTTAGTTCAAAGAATAACTTGAATTATTTTTTTGATTCCGTTAATCAGAGTTCTTTCTTGATTTTCGTCATTCAAAGTTCACACAGTTTTTACAAATTAGACAGAAACAATTCAGTAACAAATCCTTTCATTAACTATGCATTTTTTGCACGTCATTTAGATCCTCTCCATTTGGGGTGACAGAGAAAGAACGCAACATGCTCAACTGATGCCAAGTTTTGAAAATTGTTTATGTCTACAATCCTTACTGTTATCATTATTACTACTGTTATTATTATTCGCGTTATTAAATGGTATAGATGCATCCGGTTTGTAGAATGCACCCCGGCAAAATCATTAACACGGGAAACCCATACTGACTGTCCAGGAAATCTTGGTAATATTGATATAAGTTATTAATAAACAAAAGTGATCTGCCAAAAGATTATCTTGAAGAAACAAGTTATCTCTCAACAATTGCAGCAGTTCCAAGCTAAACGACCTTCTAAATCCTAACAAATTAAGAATGACCTCTTCCATACATCCTGCAAAATGAGGCTGGAAAATGATACCGTTTTATCAGCTTCTAAATGATGCACTTTATAACTATCTTCAGTGACTAGCAATTGTTTGTGTTGTGTCAGCAATTCATCATAATCGGTCCTCGGTACTGAGTGAAGAAGAACTGTCTGCAGACGAGCGATTTCAATGGCTGTCAGATCCTGAAACAACAGGTACCACTGAACAATACAAGAAGCGTGAAGCTTCCACGTGATTTTGCGTCAAGTAGCTTTTTACTGTAATTATATATAGAATCTGGAACAGGTGCCTAGAAAAGCTATGCCCGGCAAATGTGGGAGTATCACTGTAACATCACTAACATGGGACTCTCACACCAGTTGCTTACATGGATTTTTGGCACATATCGAACAGGAATCCAGAAGTCATTTCGAGATTTAATCCTGATTCTGCTCTCCCCCTCTAACATAAGGGAAATTCATGTAACGAATCCCGGCCTAAGCTTTAAATTCTTCAAAATGCCTGAGCCAGAATCATAACTCTTCAAAAACAACTCCACGATGTTTAGCAACAAATGTTTTCCCACGATAACGGCACATATGCAAATTTTTCAAGCAAATTCAGATATATCCAAAACAAAACACTGCTCGCTGAACCAAGTAAAAGAACCTTTGCCGATTTCTTTCAAAAATCAATCTAAATCTGCCTGCTGACTTATCACTGATGTGTTGCTTTTATAAACAGTTTTTGTGATAATAAAAATTGGCTAAGTTAATATTTTGGAAATTACTAAGACAACCAAGGCAATCAGTGTGGTTGTTCCATGTTAGTGATGTTACCAAAATGCTCGCTTTCGCCGTGCGCAGCTCTTCCAAGCCCTTAGGTCTTGAGTTACATACCACCAATTAGTATCCATGTGTGTGCGCCTTTTCATCGAAAGTCGGGTGTCTAAACGTTCGTTTTTGTCCCTCAGGTCAGATATCATCAATGCTACAACCCCACAGATTATATACGAGGAAACCGGCGAAAGTTTTTACCAGTTCATAGCTAGCAATTTTGAGTTGCTTGGCGTGCGCAAATCGCTGCTCTTCATAGCTTTTCTGAAGCTTAGCATATCGTGTGTTTTCATCAGCCCGATTTCGTTCGATGGTTTGAAGCTTTCGCATCAGCTGAAGATTGCGCAGTCGTTCAGCGATCATTTGGCGATTCATTTCTTCGTGTTTCCTCTCTGCATCACCTCCGTTCAGTCTTATCGATTCAGCTAGCCTCTGAAACGTTAGCTTTTTAGAATTCACCTTTTGAAGTAAAAATCAAACTACTACCAAAATCAGGCTTTTATTATGGAAATGGCAGAAAAACAGTCCAAAACTGTGAAAAAGTAGAATAGGGCTAACTCCAATCCCATAAATATCGGACTCTTTCTAAATTAATATTACTGCCGCAAGAACCGCTGAGCAAATAATCCCTTCTGAATAAAAGCAAATGTCAGGATCGCCAGCATACTGGTTATCACGCAATGCAGTACTGATCAAGGCAAGAGGTACATAATTAAAGGACTAAGCTATGACTTAAAGTTTTTGTTCGAATATTCCAAGTGCTAATAAAGAATTAATAGTGAAAAAAGTAATTCGTAAATTCAAAAAAATTCATGAAATGCGAATAAAATTAAAGCACAGATTTTCCCACCAATTGGGGCAATTCCATTACCTGATATTGCTCAATTTCGACTTCATAGCGTTCGATTTTCTCCTGTAGCTGTTCAGCGAGTTTACTCTGCTGTGTACTATCATATTCAGAGACATCCTTTCGCAGACTTAAATATCGAACTTTCAGTTCATCCACACTGCTCGCTGCTTCCCTCATACTTTTCTCCATACGTCGTAGCTGCCGATTCTTCTCGTCCAATTCCTGGAAAATACGAAAATATTTATTGCGACCTAAAGTTAAAAGTCGA